TTTCCTTTGCTCTTCCAGTTGATTTCTCTGGAGACGAAGTAAGTCAACAGTGACTTGCAGGGAAGTGTCTCTTTGGACTTCATGGGCGACCTCCTGTATGCGCCCAGCAAAGAGGGAGGGTGTTGACCATGGCAGTTGGTACAGCCTGTTCTAAAATTGATCGTGCCATAGGCAATGTTGTAACACCCTACGTCTACGAAGAGTAGTGATAGATCCCGCATGCTGAACAAGGTCTAGTATAGCTGTCGTTTTATCCTGGATGAGGGTCACAGCACCTCGAATACAGGATTCTTCCGAGGAAGATGCATGAGCTAGAGCCGATGAAAGTGCTTCAGTTGCTGATAAAATAGTGGAGACCAACGGGAGGGTCCTTCGAACAGTGGTGTCGAGGTGAACGAGGTCCCTATCATCCACTGAGTGAGTGAGTGAGTATGGACGCTTAGGAGCTAATGTTGTGATGTCACCATCTAGTTCGGGAGCAATCGTAGACAAGCCATGAGTCCCTGCATCCGCTAGTACAAAGGGTGGAGATTGAAGACGATCACGGAGACAGCGAAAGGATCCAAATGCTTTGTCTAAATTGGTGGCCATATCCTGTAGGACTGGTCTCTGACGGAGTGTGATGTTCGGCGACGAGGCTGAAGGCACAACAAATGATGATAGAAGTGTTAAGTGCTTTTTAACAGTTGTAACTTATCTGCTATCCAGATAAGTACAGTGATCGGATCCGCTATGTCGAAGCTCCCAGAAGACAAAGCTGGGGAGGTATAGTGGTCTGATGACTCTGATTCTGCTGGTTGATCCACTGAAAGGGATGTAGTGGGTGTCGATGCAGATGGAGGTACAGTAGTTGGTACAGCAGGTGCCGGTTGGGGAAGACATGCTGCTGTTACAGCCTGTAACAGAAAACGAATCTGTTCTGCTGGAATAGCAGAAATCTCGCTAGGGATCCATGATGTAGGGATAGCTTGAGATGGAGCTTGTGATAGTGTGGGAGTCCGTGATTCAGATGAAACAGGAGGGCGTCGAACCAGAGGTGGTGATGGGGAACCGGTACGACGAGTGGGTGAAGTAGAACTCTGCCTATCTTTAGGTGAAGGACATCTACTAACGGTAGCTGATCTGAGTGGTCCATCTCTATGTCGCCGAGGAGAATCCTAATGACAGGAAGAGGAAATGTTGCTTGATCAACAAGGTCTGTAATCCGGATCATGAGGATACCCATGCCATGGAGGGTGGGGATCCCTGTAGTGTGGGTATTGTTCCAACTCATGTGCGTAGGAACTATATGAAGTAGTGTTCCAAGGGTAATCACCACGTTGATGAAAATCAAAAGTGTGAGAGTAATCTCTTGGTCGAAAATCCGGATGGATGAGCGAAGGAGAAGATCGAGACATGTAGGATGAATGGCTAATAGACTTGTTGTAGCGTTCATCCTAGACGTGATGAGTCTGAATATTCTCTGCGTGAGACATGATAAGGGGACGAGCGATAATCCGCTCGCCTGTCATCAGACGAGTAACGATCTGTAGGTGAACGTCGCATCTTAGGGGAATCTCTCGAATGTCTCCGATCCTTGGAGGTTTTATGATCTCTCGTGTCCCGCTGAACCTCCTTTGAAGTGTGTCGATACTTAGGAGTCAGTATGTCCTTCGAAGTTCGGTTCGATGATGTTCGTTTAACCTCAGAGGTTCGACGAGGCTCGGAACTCTTTTGTTTGTCCGAAGATGTACGATTCGAACGCGACTGTCGCACCTCGGGAGTACAGCGATGTTCAGAGGTTCGACGATGTTCGAATGTTCGATGAGGGTCGGATGTTTGACGAGGTTCGGAGGGTCGGTGATGTTCGGAGGTTCGATCAGGTTCGGAGGTTCGAGGTTTGGGGTTCAAGGTTCAAGGTTCGGAGGCCCGATGTTCGTAGGTTCGAGGTTCGGAGGTTCGTAAATTTTGGAGGTTCGGAGGTTCGAGGGTCCAAGTTCGGAGGTTCAAGGTTCGGAAGTACGAGGAATCTTCGATGTACCGAGGTCCGATGAATCATCTCGGTGTCGAGAGTGAGAAGTCTGTTGGTCTCAGTCTGATTGCCGATCCCCCGATGATTGCACTGAATAAAGTGCACTGACTTTCGATGCTAGTCGTTCCCGGGACGAATGTCAATCGTCTTGTGAATCCTCTCGGGAATGGGAGGTTCGTGAGCCTTGATCCGATGAGTCGGCATACGACTCCTTGTCTTGAGAGGATCGACCCTGAGAAGATCGTCGTAAGGGAGATTTCGAACGACGGACTGAACGTATAGGGTTGACCGAGGTACCAGTACTATGTGTACCCTCCGAAGGTAAAACAGGAGTGAGCTCCATGTTAGTCGTTGAACACGACGAGTCGAAAGTACGAACCTCGGTCTGGTTCGACACGTTGGTTGACGTAAGCCGGTAATCCACACTCGTGTCTAACGAGAGGACTCGTCGATTGTCAGAGTCTCGGGATGTGGACGGTAGGTTCGGCTTTGAAGGTGGATTCGTGGAGACCTTAGACATGTCGTCTGTGAGAAAAGAGTCAGAGACTCCCTCATCGTCTAACGAGATCATTGGACCAGTGGGTTCCCTAGTATCCTGGCCCCCCGGTGAAGATGATCGGGCCGATCTGGCTTTCTTGACCGGTGTTTTTTTGGCTATCGTGGATTTTTCTGCAGTCTTAGAGAGACGATCTGACACCCGACGCCGACATTTATGCAGGTAGAGTTTGAAGGACTCATCTGGTAGATCGGAGCAGAGCTCGCAACGCTCTAAAAAAAACTGCAGAATACACGACAGTCCGAACACTGGGAATGAGGGTCAGACGGAGAGAAAACGCATATGGTGAGATAGGATAAGTTTTTAAAAAAATTAATTGTAAATCTTCTGATGACTCGTACCCCGGACGGCGCCACATATGATTCTTAGAGCATCTAAGTTTAGTTTTCCAATACATTAGCTTGTTCATTGGTACCGTTGTCCTAAATATGACAACAATAATCACAAATTGGTAAAATAAATGATTTGTACATAGTTTCTAGGGTAGTTCTGGATAGACGATGTTTATAACTTCTAAAACAAATAACCAGATTACAACATTTCCTTACAGTATCATCAATGTGCATTTTCCGTGTACAGTTACTTTGTTAAGTAATACCTAAGGGCTTATGTACATCTTTGATTTCTGTACCATTCATGTATAGGTTAGGTTTGTGACTAGGGTATATTGAATAGATTCAGTTTTTTCGGGACTAAATTTAATTTGCCATTGAGATTACGAGCAGCTATATCAGGATCTTCTATGATAACATACAAAGATGTGTCATCAGCAAAAAGTCTTATATTACTATTTATTCCTTACCCAATGCCATTGATATATATAATAAAAAATAATGATCCCAAGACCGAGCCATGTGGCACGCCTGCCAAGACAGCTTTTTAATCTGATCTATAGCCATTTATAACTACCTTTTGATATCGATTTTCTGAGTAACAATCAAACCATCTCAATACATTTCCACAGATACCATGATGTTGTAGCTTATAAATTATTCCTTTGTGCCAAACTTTATCAAAAGCTTTACTTACGTCACATAATACAGTTCTATCTTCCTTACCTTCATTAAGAGCCTTTGCAATAAAGTCATATAAATACAGTAAACTACGGTTATAACGAACACGCTTATAACGAACTGACGGATATAAAGAGCTTACTTTTTTATCCCGACTATTTGCTGTAGTTATGATGTATATATGCTTATAACGAACTACGGTTATAACGAACTAAAATTAGTGGTCCCTTTGAGTTCGTTATAACCGTAGTCTACTGTATGTCAACTGATTTGCGGTGGAGTCCTCCTTCGTGAATCCAGATTGTAGGTTAGTGAGCACATTAGTATTCCTTAAATATTTGTTAAATATACTTTTTTCAAATATCCTTGCTGAACAACTTGTGAGCGCAACCGGTCTGTAATTTGTACATTCATTTATGCAACTCTTCTTTTGAATAGGAATAACAAGAGCTTCTTTCCATAGTGATGGGAATATTGCGTATTGAAGAGAGAAACTGAATAGTTTAGTAAGGATTGGGACTAAACTGTAAGCTGTCTTTTAAGTTCTCTATTTCAAATACCATCAGGGCCAGTTGCCTTTGGGATGTCCACGGAGAGTAGTATATCCCTAACTTCATCTTCCATCAAAATTGTATTTACTAATAGATTATCAACTTTAACTAATTCTACGGGTTGAAGGTGCATATCACAGGACTACATATGCGAGATTGGTCCACCAAGAAGCTATTGATAATATTAGCAATATCCATGGAATTATCATACAACCTATCCCAAAATATAATTGGGGGGAACCTTAACATATATATTCCTTTCATAACAATAAAGTATACATTAAACCATTAGTGTGAACCCACAGGTAAGAGTATTTTATATTCAGTATGTATCAGAAAATGATAGAGAAAAGCATGTTGAAAATAGACGAGGCATGGTCTTTTAAAAAAATATACTGGAGCTTATCTAAGACACAAATTGAAAACACGAGGCTTGTCCTTTCAAAAAGGTTTTCTGCTACTTATCTAAAACAATTTGTAAACACGGGGCATGGCCTTTCAATAAGGTTTTCTAAAACATATCTAAAATACAATTTGAAAACACGAGGCATGGCCTTAAAAAGAAATCTCGAACTTATCTAAGACATAAATTGAAAACACGAGGTATGTCCTTTTAAATAGGGTTTTCTGTAACATATCTAAAACAATTTGTAAACACGAGGCATGTCCTTTCAATAAGGTTTTCTAAAACATATTGAAAACACAGTTTGAAAACACGAGGCTTGACGTTTAAAAAAAAGAATTTCTGGAACGAATATAAAACACAATTTGAAAAAACACGAGGCTTGTCCTATTAAAAAAAATTCTTGAAACATCTAAAACCCATTTGGAAAACACGAGGCAATGCCTTTTAAAAATGTTTCACTTACCCTGACAGGGACACATGTCATTTGTTAAGTTGAAGACGCATTGGAAGTTCGTCTGACCCAATGTGATAATTGTCAAGATGTCGTTCATCTTGATGTTAAGGCCATTCGCTTCTATGTCGCACCGCTGCGTTCCCAGCGTTGGCGTGATGGTAGCCAGGAGAGCCACAATGAGTAAGCTGTCGAACATCGTCATGTTGATTCCGACTGTCTGACCGTTTCAGCTGTTTGGTATTATAGGGCTTATAAAGTAACGACGACTAATGTACTAACCGACATCCATCACACTACAGATGTCATAACCCACGTGAAAGATACCATGCTGTTTGCAATTGATTTTGAGAGACAGGACTGAGACCAACTGCGACCCTAATTTTTAACATCCGAACAGATGACGCGTGTCACATATATAATATCAACCCCAACTATAGCGACCTGCATGCACTCCGAGGCGACAATTATTCTATCCCCTTATTTCCGACAGGGTAACAAGTACCATCTTTTAGCGTCTTTTGGTATGGCGCGGCAGGGTATCGAACACCGGATCTTCCTATGATTCTATGACCGCGCGGACGCTCTACCACTAGGCGACGGGGAAGGAGGGGGGGGGGGGGGTTGTAATTTGTGAAGAATTTTAGGTTTTGAGCTTTTAATCTAAACCAAACCGACGTCATTTTTTTTATTGGTTGTTAGCTGCATAACTATTTAAAAAAGAGTCCGTATTGTATCCCAAAGCTTATGTTTTGGGAAGATTGTAGTCATTAGCATTGATTTGAATGATTTTTGGGGGGTTATGGAATAACACAGTGTACTTTTATCACAATTCATTTTGCGGTGTTAATAAGAGTGCTCTTATTTTTTCTAACACGCCATAACTTATAAACATCATTTAAGCTAAAACTTAAATCTTAGAAATGACGCCACAAAAAAAAAGCACGACAGGGTTGTGTGTGGCTTTTCTTAACACGATAAATACAAATCGATGTGGTTGAGTTTGAACTCGCATAACATGTGAATACACAAACTTTGAACGGAATGGGACAATTTCTAATTTTCGACCAATCAGAGTCCTTCGTTTCGTTGCCATGGTAACACTATGGTTACAAAGGAAAATCGTACAGTGTCCGTAGCTAAATCTACGCACTCAAAGCAATCGAAAAAATGATACGACGGGCAGTAATAATGGGCAGTAATTGCAGTGTGCACAGCTACAAGCTGAAGTGACCGAGAGTACAAAGCGAACAAAGTTGGAGGAAGATTACAGACATATTACGAATAGTTATAAGAATATTATGAGGCAGTCTCACTGGCCATGGTCTCCTTTAATCCTAGTTCAGGTGGGTAAATCAGTGGAAGGGAATGGGCTACATGATGGTTATTGATTGACATCAGATCATCAATATACATGAAGCTTAAGTTAAAGTTCATGACCAAATTACCTTGTTTTGACTTTGCTCAGTAAACCACAAATGGCATTTGCTTTCATATTGGACAAATTGTCCTGAACCCCTGCAGATAGATGCGTAACTGTATTTGTGTTCGCCATGTTTTGTCAAAAAAAGCCCCATGGATCAAGGAATGAACTTTTTCCTTCAGTTTGTCATGTGGGATAGTGGTGTACAAAGTTGAACTATCTAATGTTTTGACAGAATTGAACATGGTTCTTTTCTGATATTGCAAAAAGTCTGTTTGTGAGAATCCACATTGTATTTATTACACTTGTCTCAAACACTTTTGTGAATATAAAGAACGTCCTTCCTTGATTGTATTAAGGACTGTGGTTACTCTTTGAGACAGGGCTTTGGTAGTACATTTGCTGGACCCAGCCATACATCTCTCTTTGTGCGGATTTTTTGAGCTTTTGAAACCAGTACAATTGAAGAATGGACATGTCTTCAGGTTTTAGAGTCAAGCCAAAAGTCCATAGTGCTGATGCATGGTTTTGTCAGATTTCTTTCTCAGTTAACATTCTGGCCTTATGTGTGGCATTATTTGAAAATATACCAAGTTCTTTGATAAAACAATTAATGTAGTGATGTTTGCATATAATCATTATGGTTGTGTTTTTTTCGGCCTTGTAAGTGGATACAACTACAAACTAGGGTAGCCAGACTGCCAAGCACAGAATGGGTTTATTCCAATTCCGTTTCCTCTTTTGAAGTTTGAGCATTCTACCAAGGACAACATGGCACTGACTTACCCAACTCTGAAAGACATTCAAGAAGTATTGATGACGCCAGGTGTCAACACCACGATCGGTATACTCTTGGAGGCAATTATGCACAGCGAATTCCGAGCCATAAGGCGACATGGACACAAAGGCGCCAGTAATACAAATTAATAAAATAACCGTATTAAAAAAGTGTTTTAGAATAGAAGATATACCGACTTGCACGAGATTGCTACATTGTCACTGATATATCCCGCAGTGATGACTAAGGCACCATCTGTTGTACATCTGCTGATGCCTGGGGTGAGGGTCGAGAAAACTAGTGTCAGAGACGGCTACGACACCTGCAGCTCGCCACACATTTTATGACTACATTCGATTTACCGTCAGCTGAATAGTTTAAGAACTGTTTTCAAATGATTTCATGCATCTTCCACAGAATTGCTCCATGGTTACATTGGCATATGTGGGTTTTACTTCTGAGATCCGCATCACTTTGGGCTTTCCTCCAAAATTAAATTGATACGTCGTGATATAACTGAAATAATGCTCAAAGCATTTAACTTACTCACTCTGAATCAGTCACCTGTTCGGAAAACAGAAGGAAAACAATAATCCTTAAGCAAACTAGTTAGTCTTAGTGCTTATAAATGAAAACCCTCCTGAATCAAAACAATAGGAAAACCAAAATGTAAGTGTAATATGATCGGGTTGCCGATTGCCACACATGTGATACGCTCGTTAAAATCTCTCACCCTCTGTGTATAAACTTTGTTGGGCTTAGCAATAAATGTAGCTTGTTATATGATTTATTCCAAAAAATTACTAACAGTAACATACATTGCAAAATTTACAGTGAAATAATGTGGTATATCACCTGCAAGATTTACAAGTAAATAACGTGTTACACCCCCTGCATGAGTTCCTTGTAAAAAAAAAGTGTTACATCCCCATCAAGAATTACTTATTCATCATGTGTTATATCACCCGCAAGATTTACATGTAAATAACGTGTAACATCCCTTGCAAAGTTACTTATAAATAATGCGTTTTATCACCTGCAAGACTTACAAGTAAATAACGTGTAACATCCCCTGCATGAGTTCCTTGTAAAAAAAAGTGTTACATCCCCTGCAAGAATTACTTATTCATCATGTGTTATATCACCCGCAAGATTAACAAGTAAATAACGTGTTACACACCCTGCAAGAGTTATTTGTAAACAATTCTTTATATCACCTGCAAGATTCACAGGTAAATAACGGGTAGCATCCCATTCAAAAGTGACTTGTAAATAACGTGTAACATTCACTGCAAGAGTTACTTGTGTATCATGTGTTATATCACCCGCAAGATTTTCAAGTAAATAACGTGTAACATCCCTTGCAAAACTACTTATAAATAATGCGTTTTATCACCTGCAAGACTTACAAGTAAATAACGTGTTCATTCACTGCAAGAGATACTTGTAAACAATATGTTATATCACCCGCACGATTTACAGGTAAATAACGTTTTACATTCACTGCAAGAGATACAAGTAAATAACGTGTTACATTCACTGCAAGAGATACTTGTAAACAATGTGTTATATCACCTGCACGATTTACAGGTAAATAATGTTTTACATTCACTGCAAGAGATACTTGTTAACAATGTGTTTTTTCTCCTGCAAGATTTACAGGTAAAAAACGTGTTACATTCACTGCAAGACTTACAAGTAAATAACGTGTTACATTCACTGCAAGAGATACTTGTAAACAATATGTTATATCACCTGCACGATTTACAGGTAAATAACGTTTTACATTCACTGCAAGAGATACAAGTAAATAACGTGTTACATTCACTGCTAGAGATACTTGTAAACAATGTGTTTTATCACCTGCACGATTTACAGGTAAATAATGTTTTACATTCACTGCAAGAGATACTTGTTAACAATGTGTTATTTCTCCTGCAAGATTTACAGGTAAAAAACGTGTTACATTCACTGCAAGACTTACAAGTAAATAACGTTTTACATCCACTGCAAGAGTTACGAGTAAATAACGTGTTACATCCACTGCAAGACTTACAAGTAAATAACGTTTTACATCCACTGCAAGAGTTACGAGTAAATAACGTTTTACATCCACTGCAAGAGTTACGAGTAAATAACGTTTTACATCCACTGCAAGACTTACAAGTAAATAACGTTTTACATCCACTGCAAGAGTTACGAGTAAATAACGTGTTACATTCACTGCAAGACTTACAAGTAAATAACGTTTTACATCCACTGCAAGACTTACAAGTAAATAACGTTTTACATCCACTGCAAGAGTTACGAGTAAATAACGTGTTACATTCACTGCAAGAGTTACGAGTAAATAACGTGTTACATTCACTGCAAGACTTACAAGTAAATAACGTTTTACATCCACTGCAAGAGTTACGAGTAAATAACGTGTTACATTCACTGCAAGACTTACAAGTAAATAACGTTTTACATCCACTGCAAGACTTACAAGTAAATAACGTTTTACATCCACTGCAAGAGTTACGAGTAAATAACGTGTTACATTCACTGCAAGAGTTACGAGTAAATAACGTGTTACATCCACTGCAAGACTTACAAGTAAATAACGTTTTACATCCACTGCAAGAGTTACGAGTAAATAACGTGTTACATTCACTGCAAGAGTTACGAGTAAATAACTTGTTACATTCACTGCAAGACTTACAAGTAAATAACGTTTTACATACCCTGCAAGAGTTACGAGTAAATAACGTGTTACATACCCTGCAAGAGTTACGAGTAAATAACGTGTTACATACCCTGCAAGAGTTGTATTTCTGAATGAGATTATTTAACTGTATCATGTCCTGATCATCCAAACCTAGTTTCATTAAGATCACACCAATGTACCAAGATTAAAATAATTCAGGTTAATGACATGTTAGTAACGACCACCTACAAAACCCTGTAAATATCGCTCGGGTGGTCGCTGTTTAGAGGTAGTTCGAATATGAAAGATGCAGTGCATACAAAGAATACAAACATATTACGAATAGTTATAAGAATATTATGA